TTTTAAACAAAAATTCCGAATTTGCCTTCTTATTTGAAAGTCTAGCATCCACTTTCCAAATTGTATCTTTCATACGACCCTATTTACAAATGGCGAAAAGCATCTCTCATCAGAAGTACCGTAAACTCATTACGCTGATTCATTTCAACTACAAATGGGGCTATTCATGAATTTTAGTAGACTTATTAAATGCATGATTGTTACCACTATAAAATTACATTATTTATTTTCTAACTAAAGGCCTCCGTTGTGAGATCTTACTATTTTCATTTCGAAATTTGACTCTGACGTTTTAGATCTGGTCAGATCGATTTTATTCGGCAAAAAACTCTGAATAAAAGACTCTACAAAACACAAAACCAGTTTGAACCATCATTGTCACAGCACCTGAGCCGCCATAGTTTGTTCATTTATAGTTCCTTCAAAATCTCTCCACGCGCGTAATTCTCAACTAACTGCTATTTATCAATTTCTCAAATTTTACCCGGAGCAATTAAGAGGACAAAGACTGGTTTTCGAGAATTGGAGATGCACTTATTGAATCCGCACTTTTAATGTCTAGTTCACCCACTCATTCTAATCCCTTTTAAGCACACTCTTTGAGAAAATCAACGTTGCCAGCTGAATTGAATTAACACATTACACAGAAAACTTCATTGGCTCTCAATCTCTGGCCCGATTCATTAAATTTTCGAAAAACACTTTTGTGACAAACTACTATAACTAAACACTTACATCCTTGGCCAATTTGAGCAGCCTCTCTTGAAGCGACTGAAGTTCCAAATTCTTTGACTCGAGTTGTTTGAGGGCTGCCGCTGAAGATCTTTCAGCCATCTCCGCACTAAAATGTACACAATAAGATGGTTAAACGTTCTCAGATGAACACTAGTAAGCTAAAAAAATATTGGCTTATCTTACCAACCGAATTTTAGCTATGACAAAAGAATTACATAGGGACGGCATGACCTACCACGAGATTAACTCGACCGTTAAAGAAGCTCAGTACTGTAGACAAAAGCTTCTTTAGGAGTCAGGCAATTTGTTAATTAAATTTGGACAACTAAGCATTACGTACTGGTCTATGGGAATAGAGATATTTCGCTTGCTCTTTCATTAAAGTGAGAGACTTTAGATCTCTTTATTTAAGTACCAATCTCTATTTGGACCTCTCCTCAAGTTCATAGTTTATTGACCTAATCTAATTTATCTACATGTCAAGATGTTATATAGCATGGAAGAAAACTCGAGGAAGACTAAGTAGTGCTTTAGCCATTTCAAGAAGCTAGAAGAAATACTGTGAGATTGGAGAGCCGATGGGACGACGAAAGGAGTGGAGAAAAGGCGAATACGCAAAACAACCACAATACCCCTTACGGGCGAGGAGAATGCGAACCTGGACAAATTGGTGTGACTAACTTTAGGCGCTAATTTTTTCCCCTTCCTCACATTTCCTGCCCTCGTTGCAAATGTATGTGCCTGTCACTGAAAGCAGATATAAGTTGACGAACCGACTGGCTGAATAAAGTTAACTTCTCATGAAGTCTTATACTCTCCACGGATGATAATTGAGAAGCGCTAACTTCACGTCAATGAACTCGGAAAACGTCGAAAGCCTCCCCAATCACGTCTCAAAGGGAGAGCTTACATCATTCGACTGGAGTAGAATAGTGACATTCCGGAATTGTATGTGGAAACTTGCATAATGTCATTCCCCCCCCCTCCCCTC